CTCATAAATTCTTTCCCAGTTTATTGATTTTGGTTATATGCATACTTTCTGGTGTTTATAAACTCCTACATGGTAGTGTAAGATTTTTGGTGCATAAACATGTAAATAAGAGAGTAAGAAGAAATCACAACAAATATATTTCTATAATAAAAAAGTGCAGCCCTCAGTAATCTTACATTTCCACTTGATATGGTAAATGCTTATTATGCTTAATTGTTCCTCTGATCAGAACAATCATAAACTTCCTTTATAATTTCAGCTAAAGTATCTCTGCAGTACCATTGTTCCAGCAAAAAAAAAACTGTAATCTTCCCCTCTTTCTCCTCCTCTACCTGAACCCACACCCCATCCATGGTGCAACTTCCAACTTCTCAATAAAATTGAAAACACTGTTTTCAACATTCTCCTCCCCTTTGCTGAACAACTACACCCACTTCTGTGTACAAATGAGTATCTCCCTGTACGTTAATGGGCTAACCATGCGACCTCTTAACTTCATAACCTGATCCAAATTTAAGTCATAAACATGCTACATCCACCAATTCACAAGTGTTAGATACATGATCAATTTAATAGACTCACCTGAGTAAACTTCCCTTGTCCCAATCACTAAAATGTGTGGCTCCCAAAATTGGGGTTCACAACATGGTCCACTATCTGCCCAGTTGAGTCCTTGCTTCCTCAATCATTTTGCAGTCTGAATACAATGTTGTTGAAAGGTGAACACAAACAGATTCAGCAAGGAATACACTTTGATGTAGTGTTTAAAGGTTCAGTCCATGGGACCGAAAAAAGCTGTAGGACTGAACTGAACTGGACCATGGACTGGTCTTTTTTTTGGTTGCAGTTGCCCAAATTTGGGGTTATTCCAGTTGCCGGTTGCCTCATTTCAAAAGTCTTTTAAAACCACTCAAAGACTGGTTTCAATTGGTTGTAACTGGTTAAGCGGTCATGTGCATTACATACCGTTGTAGCCACATTTATTACCTTTAATTGGGTTTTTAGTTCATCAAAAATGGTTAAGAACTGAGAACAATATAACCAAATCCATATTTTACCTGAGTCTCTAGGAGATGTAATTCAGTTTCAATCATAGCTATGTCAAATCTTCATTAAATCTCTTAAAAATTGGTAGAATGATGGGTATTTACATGCTTTACTATGGTATATAACCCATTTATTTTTCAGAGTAATAATAGTTGAGATACAAATGGTTTATATTGGTATAATGAATTATACACAAAAAAACTGGTCTGGATCAGTCTGAACCGGTTCCATAGACCGCAAAAGACCGGTCCTAGGTGGTTCGGTTCAGTTCCCTCAATATCTGGGTTGGTCCTAGACTGGTTGCGGTCCACGGTTGCGCGTTTTGGGGGCAAAAAACCGGACTGAACTGAACTTGCAAACACTACTTTGATGTGAAGTCAGTATGAGGACCATGGATATTTGAATGAATGAAAAAGAGACAGTAACTACAGCATTCAGCAAAAAGGCAACTCAGTAGAGAAAAGACCTTGAATCAGAGTCCATGCTGGTTTTCTACCTAGAATACATGCCCAGGGTGGTAAGGAATAAGTCCAAGATGTCAGTACTGTGTACTTCCTTCCTTGGTGCATTGTGATCTTTTTTTAGCAACCATAGCTCTTTGAAATTCACAAAATATGTAATGAGCAATGTTGAGTATACCCATGCTGGATATGTACAATGATAAACTTGCAATAGTGTGAGTCAGATCTATTGTACATCCTACTGAAAAACGAAATAAGAATCTATAATATGAGAAATGTTGGAATATTGCAATACCTTTCTCTTCAATATTTTGGAAAGCCTACTTGCAATTGTGGAAAAATGGTGAACTAAGATTGTAAATATATGAATTGACCAGATTTTAGGGTAGATAAGACTCACCTTGTTTCTTTGATTCAGTTCCTGAAGTATCTGTGTTGGCTTGGGATCTAATTTGTGCAAGGAATGCCACTGCTTTGACTGTTTTTGGATGTTCTTCTCCAAGAATCTTCTTTCTTACATCCACAACTTGGACTTCCAGCCTGGCTGCATCTGTGTATCTTTTTAGATGGTAAAATGTTATGGCAAGATTTTCCATTCCATCAATTGTATCAGGGTGCTCTTCTCCAAGAAGTCTGTTTCTCATATCTAGAACTTTTATTTCAAGCTTCTCTGCATCTGCATATTTTCCTAGACTCCAATATGTCACTGCAAGATTACCCATGGCCCAGATTGTATCTGGGTGCTCTTCTCCAAGAAGTCTGTTTCTCATATCTAGAACTTTGCTTTTAAGCTTCTCTGCAGCTGCATATTTTCCTAGACCACTATATGTACTTGCAAGATTACCCATTGCTGAGATTGTATCTGGGTGCTCTTCTCCAAGAAGTCTGTTTCTCATATTTAAAACTTTGCTTTTGAGCTTCTCTGCATCTGCATATTTTTCTAGACTCTGATATGTACTTGCAAGACTACCCATCGCTGAGATTGTATCTGGGTGCTCTTCTCCAAGAAGTTTGTTTCTCATATCTAGAACTTTGCTTTGAAGCTTCTCTGCATCTGCATATTTTCCTAGACTCTCATATGTATTTGCAAGATTACCCATGGCCCAGGTTGTATCTGGGTGATCTTCTTCAAGAAGCCTGTTTCTCATATCTAAAACTTTGCTTTGGAGCTTCTCTGCATCTGCATATTTTCCTAGACTCTCATATGTATTTGCAAGATTATTCATGGCTGAGATTGTATGTGGGTGCTCTTCTCCAAGAAGTCTGTTTCTCATATCTAGAACTTTGCTTTGAAGCTTCTCTGCATCTGCATATTTTCCTAGACTCTGATATGTATTTGCAAGATTATTCATGGCTGAGATTGTATCTGGGTGCTCTTCTCCAAGAAGTCTGTTTCTCATATCTAGAACTTTGCTTTGAAGCTTCTCTGCATCTGCATATTTTCCTAGACTCCTATATGTACTTGCAAGATTATTCATGGCCGAGATTGTATCTGGGTGCTCTTCTCCAAGAAGTCTGTTTCTCATATCTAGAACTTTGCTTTGAAGCTTCTCTGCATCTGCATATTTTCCTAGACTCTGATATGTATTTGCAAGATTACCCATCGCCTGATTGTATCTGGGTGCTCTTCTCCAAGAGGCCTGTTTCTCTGCCTAGCACTTTGCTTTGAAGCTTCTCTGCAACTGCATATTTGCCTAGACTCCAATATGTAATTGCAAGATTACCCATCGCTCTGATTGTATCTGGGTGCTCCTCACCAAGGGCCCTGCTTCTTGCCTCCAGCACTAGAATTTGAAACTTCTCTGCCTCACTGAAACAC